AGAGAGAGAGAGAGAGAGAGAGAGAGAGAGAGAGAGAGAGAGAGAGAGAGTCAGAGAGAGAGACAGAGAGAGAGACAGAGTGAGAGACAGAGAGAGTTGAACACAGCATATCATTTATAAACATTAGCCACCACCACCATTAGTGTCCCCCAATTTATTTCTCTACAGTTGTTTAAAGAGCCAAAAGAAAACCTTCGAGCAGATCAGCTTGGGCCGCCCTTGAAGAACCCAACCCTGACAGAATATGAATTCACAGAGTCTATTAAATGTCATATAGATCTTAATTTCGAAGCTATAAAACTAAGCTATAAAAACACCTAGGAAAGTCACTGGACTCCTTCCTTCTTCTTAAATGGAGAAATAACCAGATTGTTGAGGTAATGAGAAATCAATGCTGAGCGGGTCCGGGAAGCTTCGTTTAAATTGAAATTTTCCAGAGGTGAAGTGTACAAAGCCAGAGATTACTCTGTCCCTACAGTGAAATGTGTTTAGTCATCAACTTTTAAGATAAAAAAATAATAGACATAGGCATAGGTCTAGGATATAAATATAGAGATATATTATATAGATACGTGTATAGATATCCGTCTACATTAGATATAGAGAGAGATTACATATAGACAGACCTAGAGATAGATAAATGGAGAGATGCATACAGATACAGACATAGACGTAGATGTGGAAAGAGATGTAGAGATGTAATTGTAGATTATTCAGTTGCCTGTACTTATAAGACCCCCAAACAAATGCCCCGTGCTACTCAGTTTTTGTCACCTGGGGAGAGGAAACCTCAATAAAAGAACTTTCTCTATCTGATTGTCCTGTGGGTTTCCCTGTGAAGAATTTTCTTGGTTATTGATTGATGTAGGGGAGTGCTGCCCACTATGGGCGGTACCACTCCTAGGCAGTCCTGGGTTGTATAAGAAAGCAGGCTGAGCAAACCAGCAAGCAGTGCCCCTGCTCCTGCTCGAGTTATCGCCCTGAATTCCCAAAATGATGGACTGTGACCCGGATGTGTAAGCCACATAAGACCTTTTCCTCCCCAAGTTGCTTTTGGTCATGGCATTCCCCACAGCAATAGAAAACTAATACAACCCTTTCCTTCCAGATTCTTTTCTATACTCTTGTCACGGTGGGGGTTGGGGGGTGAGTGTATAGGTTCTGGCTTTTATCATTCAAGGTCAAAGAACAAAGGCTGAGGGGCAGGTGCTGTCTCAGGTGCTAGAGAACCACATACTACAGAGGCCCAAATCCTGAAAATGGGCAGGCACCAACTCTCCACTGGGGTTGAGCTGGCCAAAGGGGACCAGGGGAGAAGGTTGGAGACAGAAAAATGGCAACAAATAGACAAATAAAGGCTGAGCACACCCTGTACCTCACAGCTGTCACCAAGGATAAACTTGAACTTCTCATCCTCCCAAGTACTAGATTTATAGTCACATACTGCCATGTCTAGTTTCAGGCAATGCTGGTGCCTGAACCCAGAGCTTCATGTGTGCTAGACTGGCACTCTACCAACTGAGGCTTATCCCAGCATCTAAAATGGTCCTCTTTCTAGTGGCCAATACAGTCACGTTCTTCAGTCTCCACATCCAGGCAAGCTGCATGATCTACAGGTTTCTTCCCTCCTCCTCCTCATCTTCCTCTTCCTCTTCCTTCTCTTCCTCCTCCTCCTTCTCCTCCTCCTCTTCCTCCCTGACATGGAACCTGAATGAATTCAATGTTTATAGTCCGCAAACCAAGACCCCCTTTCTTTGCTGACTGTCCACTGGGCTCCCAGACTCTGCCCACCATTCCTGGCTGTGCACCCCACCCCCTTGCACAGGTCTTACCACCCCTCCTCCCCCAATCTCTCTGAACACTTACGTCTTTTATCTCCAGCCCTACATGGGGAAAACCAGGTTTCTTTATGTTCTCAATTAAGGAATAGCAGCTAATGCAGAATGGGTAACTATATTTAGCTTGACTTCAAAGAGCGTTTATGCTTACCCATTATTTATGTGCTATGCATTGCATATACATATTTTAGCTCCCAAAGCCGGTGGTCTGACAGGACGGTTCTTCTTAATAAATGAAGTGCTGGTTCTCATACATATTTGAATGCATATTTGAAACTGCTCGTGCTTTCGCTGCATCCCAAGTCTAAGTTCCATGGTTGATTAAAGCAATGCCAGCCCGGAGTTCCTTAAAGCTTGCGTTATTTGTTTTTAGAGCAACGTATCCCAGCATACACTGCGTATGTGCCACATCCGTGTCTCGCGCACTATTTCGGAGTGTGAAGAATTGCAACTCTTCCCGCACAGAACCAGGAAGGGCTGTTGTTCTAAACATCCTTCGGTAAAGCCAACGTGAAGGCGGTGGGTCCAAACACATTTTTTGAATAAGTTCTAAGTTCCGTAGTGACTGGGGTGGGGAGTTTGGGCTGTCTCTGGGGACTCAGGGGCTGGGACTCACCTGAGAGGACCTGAACATGAGAGAGGCAGGGAGCTGTGCCACCAGCCCCTAGAATACACTGTGTCACAAAGCATCAGGTAGCTAGAGGACCTTCTCTTCTACTCCACTCTGCCCCGCCAGACAACTACTTAGGAGAATACTAGCCGGCAAAGTCCTTATGTGTTTGTTTTCTGTTTGTTTCTGTGGGGTTAGTTACGTTTTGTTTAGTTTTAGACAAGGTCTCACGTAGGCTAGTCCCGAACTAGCTATATAGCAGAGGTTGGCCTTAAACTTCTGATCCTCCTGCTTTTACCACCTGAATGCTCTGTGACAGACAGGTGTACACCACCATGCCTGGTTTATGCATGCCAGGCAAATGTTCAGCCAGCTGAGCTAAAATCCTCAGGTCAGAAGTACCCTGGAAGTCTCCAGGATGAGAACAGAAGCCCACAGAGCATGCTGGACAGCTCTACCTCCGCCAGGAGCTGGGAGGCTTATAAGAACCCCCAATTCACCGATGTTCTTCACACAGACAGAACTCACACCAATAAGGCAAACACGGGGAAAGGTCTCTCTTTACCTGAGGGTTTGAAAACAGCAGTCCCGTGACTCCGTGCTCTACCACAGCCGAATTCCCAGGGATGTTCCTGGCTAGCACGGGAACTTCCAAATCCATTGCCTGTGAAGACGGGAGGAGCGAGGATGAGGATAGCATCTAAGAACCAGGCAACGGGGCCGGAAGATGGCTTAGGTGGTAAAGTGCTTGCTCTGCAAGCATCAAGACCTGAGTCCAATCTCCTGGGACTCCTGGACAAAAACCTAACCAGGCACGGTGGTGCATACCTGTCTTCTCAATACTAGGGATGCGGTGGCAGGGACCAAGTCAGGGGGCTCCCTGGGACTTACTGGCCTGCCAGTCTAGCCTACTTATCAGGCTCCGGGTTGTGAAAGACCCTGTCTCAAAAACGAAGGTGGATGGCTGAAGAGATGGCTCAGGGGTCAAGCGTGCTGGCTGCTCTTGCAGAGGATTATAGAGTTTGGTTCCCAGCACCCAAGCTGAATAACAATTCAGAATCGTCCATGACTCTAGATCCAGGGGCTCCAGTGCCCTCTCCAGGCCACCATGGACACTCCCACACATGTGCACATACTCCTACATACGTGCACATTCCCCCACACAGACACGCACCAGCATACACAATTTAAAATGAAAATAAATCTTTTTTAAAAAATGGCAAATTCTGAGCACAGACAAGCTCCAAGAATATGTGAACACATTGAAAAGTTGGTTCTGATAGCGCTGTAGCTGGCAAAGGCCCGCGCTAGACAGTGTTTGGAAATAGGCCTGCCTGCGTTCAGAGCAAATTCACAGTGCAAGCCGGGGAAAGACAGAGGAGGGGCCGAGCCCGGCACCAGGGGACAGACACATGAAATGTCAGGACACAAGATACATAGCTTCCCTTTACCAAAACAGACTCACCTGGCCCCCCTAGACTAGATCAGCCTCCTCTTATGGGATGGACAGAACCTCTCTTTCATGGTCTCTAATATCCCTGTGGCCAGCCCCCACCCTTATTAGAGCTGCCTGGGGTTTATAGAAAGTCTGGGGTGGGGATGGGGCGGTGAAACAAAGTTTCTCTGTACGTCAGCTGTCCTGGAACTCACTCTGTAGACCAGGCTAGCCTCAAACTCAGAGATTCACCTGCCTCTGCCTCCACAGTGCTAGGATTAAAGGTGTGTACCACACAATGCCTGCCTGAAACAGTCTTTTTTTCCCACTGCATGAGCAACACAGCTGCTGGAACCTGCACTCCATAAAAAAAAAAAGAACAGCCGAGCTTTAGGAATACACAGATCGCCTGCGGGCATGGCTTGTGACGCCTGCAGCCAGGCGGTCCTGGGTCAGACTGCCCTATCTCTATTCTCTCGAAGAAGGACTTGCTGTGACTTTGTGACATGGCTGACCGTTCTGAGTGACCACTGCTAGTATGGGAGAACGACTCGATCTGAAGGTGTTCATACAAACTCACAGAACTGAGCCGGAGAGTGGTTTGGGTGAGGTTGGCCAGTGGCCGGCAGGATATTTCTTCTACGCAAAGACCACCCAGCCCCTGACAAAATTCCTCACCTCCGGCAGCTTCGACATCCCAAATAAATGCCCTTAGCAAGTCTTTCTAGTTCTGACACTTGAAAAAAATTAGCTTCGGCTTTTCAAAAGAATAAGGAATGGTCCTGCCCCATGCCCCCACATAAAATCAATCTCTCTCTATCTCACAACACCCCCCCCCAACATATACACACTTTGGCCCCCAAATGGCACAAGTGTTTTAAAATTCTCTTACAGGGTCCTTCAAGGTTCTCAGACCACTAGAGCTAGTGTGACCGGCTATGGTCAAGCGTGTTCCTTCCTGCTCTCAGCTTTAGATCTTCCACCGGGGTCCCAGAACCTAAGCCAGAGGTTTTGTCTGCATGTTGACTACCCTTATGTTGGTGTTCCGAACAGGAAAACTGGGACTATGGAGGCAGCCCTTTATACCCATTGTGTGTGAAAGGGTACATGTGGATGTGTAGAAGAGAGAGGAAAACTTGGAGTGGCCTCCTCAGAAACTGTCCATCTCGTTGTTTAAGACAGGGTCTCTCACTGGCCTGGAGTCCACAGACTCTATTAGGCTGAATGTCCAGCGTGCCCCAGGGGTCCGCCTGTCTCCCCTCTAAGCCTTCTCTATCCCTGGGATTACACTCACAAAGCAACTGTGCCTGGCTTTTCCCGTGGGTCCTGGGCATTAGACTCAGCACAGCAAGCACTGAACTGACTGAACCATCTCTCCATTTCCCTCCTTTAAGGTAATTCTGTTGGGTGGGGGGTGAGGATGGAGTATTGCAAATCCACAGTATGTTTGAATGGGAAAGGCCTGGCGGGCTTTTAGCAACAATCACCCAGTTGCTGTGCATCCGCCTGACATTTGCCCTTGACATGTTTTCAGTGAGAAGTGGGTATTTTAGCCAATGGGCATTTGTACTTGCCTTCTCAAGACAGCAGATTCAGAAAGGTTAAAAGTTCACTTCCTGGACCAGTGAGGGGGTGTGTGATCTGTGATTAACACACTGGCCATCTGAAAGGGATTCTGAAGAGGCACGCTTACCACTCCCCCTAAAATCAACTTCATTCAGAGCCCGTCTCCCAAAGGTTATTTTGCCTTCTCAAAGGAAGGCCACATCGACACTTCAAGAGCATCAGAATTGCCAACAGCTGCCTTTCCTATGAGGCAAACCGAGGGCCACAGCAGTTACTCCACAGAGAAAGCTGGGCGTGCTGCTCATGAAACCACTCAGCCGACTTTAGGCCCTTGACCTGAATTTGTGGAGGGGAGTATGTATTTACATACAGAAGAACAATTGGGCACCTTCTCTACACTGGTCTGAAAGTTAGTTGCTGGGGTGACAAACTGCCCCAGTGACTGGGGCTAAGCACCCAACCAAGGCTGATAGCTATCACAGAGCACAGGTAGAGCTGGCTTCTTTGCCAGACACAAAGATGACACAAGGCCACATCATGCACTTTCAGACCAATGGATGCAAATTCACGTTTGCTCCAGGGTATCTAGACACCGCTCTTCTGGTATCCACTGGCAACTGCACTCACTTGTATGTACACCCACACAGACACATGTACATACGTGTGACTTAAACTCTTTAAATAAATCTTTTTAAAGAAAAATGGAGAAGAGCAAGAACAATCTGGTTCCACATCCTGAGCTGCTGTTACCTCCAAGATGGCGGCCGACATGCCCTCGGAGACTGAGCTGTTGACCAGCGCAAAGCAGCTCTTCACCACCGCATGCAGATCTTCCTGGCACATCTCTCGGATCAGCCGCACCCCTGCAGCCCTGAAAAGGACAGAGGAGAGGTAACATGGCTGTTCCAGCCCTCCTCTTAATCCCATTCAATTTTATGTGAACAGTTAAGACCCAATTTGTACATCGAGCGAAGCTGGGTCCCTTGTTCCTGCCAGGAAAAAAAAATTTTCAATCTAGACAGATACAATGATCACTTATCTCCAAAGAGACTATAGCAGTCTGCGCCTTCATCAGCCAAACACAAGTAAGCTCCTTCATTCTTCCAAATCTTTGTTAAGATTTATTTATGAATATCAGTGTTTGACTGAATGCAGGTATGTGTACCATGTGACTGCATTACACACAGAGGCCAGAAGAGGGCATCCAGATCCCCTAGAACTAGAATTACAGGTGATTGTGAGCCATCATGTGGGTGCTGGGAATTGAACCTGGGTCCTCCGCAAGAGCAGTCAATGCTCTTAACCAACTGAGCCATCTCCAGTCCCCAAATGTTTATTATTTTAAATAATTGCATTTTTTCCCAGTGTCATCAGTATTAAAAAAAAAAAAAACAACTATCATCTTCAAGTGATCTTTGCTAAGTTAAGTTGAAGCATGCACCTAGGGCCTGTCACATAAGAGGCTTCTGATTCCAGTCCAGCCTGGGATATGCGGCAAGACCCTTAGGCAAAAACAAAGTGCTTTGCTCTGGCCTTTCCCCAGATGACTAGGGAGATAGAGTGTCTTGTACTTTGACTTCCTCCATTTATCGGCCTCTACCCTGGAGCCCAAAGCATGACCTTGAGAGATCACAGGGGATATTATAGGAGGCTACATTTGCAACCTGCTTAGAGCAGAGTCTGAGACGGGTAAGCTGGAACTCCTGAACCACTTGCCTTGCCATGCAGGATTCCTAGTGTGCATGATGCCACCTGCCTGAAGATGCCACCTGCCCGTCACTCTTACCTCCTCACCCGGTCTTTCACTTCCTTTGTAAATACTGGATCTACCTAGAAAAAGAGGAACAAGGAACACTTTTAAAAATCTGACCATCTGGCTGGCACATGGCTCAGCAGGTACAGACAGGCCCGTGCTACAAAAGCCTGAGGTCCTAGACTTGATCCCAGAAAGTCACATGGTTGAAGGTGATAACTGAGTCCCAAATGCATTGTCCTCTGCCTTCACATACGCACCATGGCATGTATACACACACATACATGCACATGCACATGCACACACACACACACATGTACACCATTCACTCACATGCACACACACACACACACACACACTTTTTTTTTTAAATCCGACTCTGCAGGTGGGACAGCATGGTACAGCAACTATCGTGCACAAAGGCCTAGGTTCAGTCCCCAACACTGCATAAACCAGGTGTGATAATGGAAAGCCCGTGACTTCAACACTTGGAAGGAAGCGAAAGGATAGTGATTTCAAGGCCATCTTCTTCTGCATCATGGCAAACTCCAGGCCAGCCTGGGATATGTGAAAGACTTTGTCTGGGGCTGGGGTAGGCTTGACCTAAATCTAAGTCCTCAGCACACAAATCCCAACAGGATCAAAGCCCAGCCAGTAGTTCCGAAAGGAAGAATATACGAGAAACAGAAGAACAGCCCAAGTCCAGCTGTTATACAAGGAAGATAGAATAGAAAAGAGAAGGGAGCGGGGGTCTATGTACGACACTCTCTATAAGTGTTAAGCCCAGAGAAACCCAAGGGCTTCAAAGGACAGTGGAAAGTGCCTACAGACAGGACAGTTTGACTGTCCAATCCCTCAGGGAAAGGCTTGCTTTCCTAAACGATGCAGATGGAATTTATCATAAAAAAAGAAATCAAGGGAATGAGTGGGCAGCCTTCATCAAAGCAGCCCACCTGCCTGAAGAAAACTGAAGTTTGTTTTTAGGCGTCTTCTCAAAAGCACAGTTTTAAAACCAAGGTCATGCCCCTAGGCTGATGAATAACAAAACGTGTTTATCCATGTGAGTAGTATTCAGACACCAAGAGAAAGGACTGCATTATGTAGTAACTTAGATGAATCCAGAAAACATTCTGCTAGGCTAGGCTCGGTGGTGCACACCTGTGATACGGTACTGGGGGTGGAGGCAAGTGGATCGGAAGTTCAAGGTCACACTTGGCTATATACAGAGTTCAAGGTCAGTTCCCTTCCATGAGGCGCAGGGGTCTCTCATGAATCTCCTTTCAACTCATCACAAGCTCTTCCTTCCCTAAGACATCCTGACAGGCTACATCTGAATGACTAACACCCGTCAGATGGGTCCCTCAGTGTCTCCCCCCACTTGACTTCTATTATCAGCCGTGAATACGATTTTCAAACCGTTGAAAAAGCTTTCTTCAACACAAAACTCTAGAGTCAGCAAGATAAAGATGGCTCCGTGGATAAATAAAGACGCTTGCCATCAAGCCTGACCTGAGCTGGAAATCCAGGACTCACATGCACCGTAGCACATCTGCCTCCTCTGAAATAAATAAGTAAATGAATGTAATTTAAAAAAAATTAGGGGCCAGCAATGGTAACATTCACCTTTAATTCCAATTTGGGGGGGGGTGCAAAGGCAAGTAGATCTCTCATAAGATCGAGGCCAGCCTAGTCTAAGTACTGAGTCATCCAGAGGTACACAATGAAATTGTGATTCGCCGGGCAGTGGTGGCGCACGCCTTTGATCCCAGCACTTGGGAGGCAAAGGCAGGTGGATTTCTGAGTTCGAGAGTTCGAGGCCAGCCTGGTCTACAGAGTGAGTTCCAGGGCAGCCAGGGCTACACAGAGAAACCCTGTCTCGAAAAACCCAAACCAAAAACCAAAACCAAAAACAAAAACAAAACAAAAAAAAAAAGAAATTGTGATTCAAGCAAAAAGAAAAAAAACATATTTTAGGAGGAATGGAGAGACAGCTCAATGGTATCTGCATGCACGCACACACACACAAATAAAAATATGAATACATATTTAAAACATTTTTTTTTTTAAAGCCTAGGCCTCACTTCAAAGACACAGCAAGGGTGTGAACCCAGCTCAGGAATTCAGGATGCTAGCAGCCCCTCCTGACGGTGGCTCCAGCCAGGCTGCAAAGAAAGTAGATTCAATTCCTGTTCTCATTTACACGTTGCCAATAGCCATCATGAATTACAAGCACGCTGGCTAGCTGAAAGCAAATGTCGGAACAGCTAGCTTTATAATGCCAGGTGATATAAAGCCTTTGTCTAGAAACTCTGTTCCACTTTCTTCTGACAGGAAGAGCTGTGCGGTGGGCCTTGAATCCTTCCAACTGCCTGCTCAAGGACTGATGGTCTTAGGTTTACTGACAGCCCTGGGGCCTCTACATGGCTGGAAATGTGTGGGGCTGTATTATATCAAAGAGGAATGCGTAAGAATTTGCAATTATCCCTAGGAAGATCTGTGCAGAGAGACGCTCATAGCTATGAACAACAAATTGCTACTGTTGTAACTGCTTTTAATTAATACTCAGTAGCCACCTAAGCCAGAAGAGCGTGTGCTAAGCCTTTTTTAAACTATTAACTTACTTATTAACAATGTTATCACTGAACACTTCTATCCAGGAGGACTCAAAGAGATTGTGTAACTTCAGCAGAGTCCCAGAGCAGGAAACAGATTGATTGAGCCAGTGTTCTAGTCTGGGCAGACTGGAAGCCAAGCTTCTCTTGGTTATGCTTAGTTTCATCAGATAACCCCTAGAAAGCTCAAGGGACAGAGGCTGGAGAGCTGGCCCAGTTGGTAAAGTGTTTGCCTTGTAAGCAGAAAGACCTGAGTTCAGTCCCCAGAACCCACATTTTAAAAATCTAGGTGTCAGGGATGGAGAGATGGCTTGGTGGTTAATAACAGCATGCTGCTCTTGTACAGGACCGGGTTCCCAACATCCACCCTGGGCAACTCAAACCTATCATCTGTAACTGCAGTTCTATGGGATCTGACACCATTGTCTGGCCTCTAGGAGCCCCTACACTCAAGTAGTGTGTGTATATGTATGTGTGTGTGTGTGTGTGTGTATGTTAATTTTCTACATGTTGATTTTTCTACATGTTAATTTTCACCTTAAAATTTTTACATGGCTTTGTTTCTGCCAGCCCATTCTCTTTTTGTATAGGTATATGAAATACATACACACACATACATACAAACATATATAGATATATGGAATCAGGCACATACATACATACAAAATAAATAATTTAAACAAGGTATTACAGAGCATGCTCATATTTCCAGCTTGAGGGAAGGGAGTGGAGGACGTTAGACCCTTCCTGGAGAGCCAGATAGTAGCCAAATTTGTGAGCCCTGCAACAGTGACAGGCCCTGTCTCAAAACAACAGCCAAAAAGGTAGATGGTCTGCCACAGAAAATGCACCCATGTGCCGTGAGCTCATGCACACATGCACACACGGACACACGCACAAGCTGTAAAAGCCCATGAAGTCCCTGCTACCTTCCCAGTCTCCAGGAGTCATCATCCTCCAGGTTGCAGCTGGCACCCTGTCTCTGAAACGCTTTCACTCTCCCCGAGAATCCTGGCCAAAAGCAACACATCCCACCAAACTATCCTGCCTGCTCCCAGCCACCCCCAGGGTCACCATCTTTAATAGCTCTCTGCCTTTCTTTCTGCTGCACCTTGGTCTCCTTCCCTGGCTCGCTCGCAGTGACTAGAATAGTCCTGGGCATGAGAACTCCCTTTTGACTTCCCACTCCTGAGGCCTCAAGCTCAAATTATTAAGCAGCCAGAGACCGGCATAACCCTAGCATATTACAATGTAAAAGTCAACCCTCTAATGGAAGATCCCTTCTGGACTGGCAAGATGGCTCAATGGGCAAAGGTGCTTTTGCCCAAGCACAATGATCTAAGTTTGTTCCCAGGGATACACCATCCCCCAGAGAACCGATTCCTGCAAGTTGTCCTTTGATCTCTAGACACCTGCATCATGCCATGCACGTGGCGTGCCTTTCCTTCTACATGTTAATTTTCACCTTACGTTTTACATGGCTTTGTTTCTGCCAGCCCATTCTTTTTGTCTTTATCAGCATGCACTGGCTCTCAAGATGAACTGTCTGGGGAAAGACAATTTGTCAAGGATACAAGTCGGCTGGAATGCAAAGCTAAGGAGTGAAGAGCGAGTCGTAGGATGAAACTACAATCGACGCCGGCTTTCTCTGGGTTTACTTTCCACATCGGTTCACTTTCAAATCTCTTAGTGAAGCCGAGTGGAACAAAACACAAGATAAAGAGGAAAGGAGGCGTGGATGTTTTTATTTAATGAAATTTTTAAAGGAGGGAAGAGAAAAAAGCTTTGAAAGCGGTAAGAGCAAAATTCTCATTTCCTCCTTCCAAGCTTGTTTATCTCCTAACAAAAGATATTGTTTCAACTCTAGGGCTTAGGGGAAATAATCTTTGCTATAAGAAGTTGCTGGGAGAAGTCATTAGGCTGTCAAGCCCAAAGCAAATGTTTCTCCGCCCCCCACACACACACACACTCCAGCACGCCTCATCAAAGAGCTGGAGAAGGTACCGTACAAGATGCCCCGTGAGCAGGAACATGTGCTTTTCTCAAACAGAGGAACTGAGAGATCAAAGGAGCATGCATAGAAAACCCAAGCTGAACTCAGAGCATCCTGCAGCTAGAACAGGATCCCGGCAGTCAGAGTAGGAAAGGGAACATTGGCTTTAATGGTCCCTTGTGCTTCCTGTATTCCCAGGACACTCCCCCCAAGGACAGAAAGTGTTCGCTTTCACTGATAGCGAACCAGGAAGCAGGTACAACTGTCTTCATCATTCCTACTTTGCAGATGGGAAAACTGAGGCACGTAGTTACGTCAAGGGCAGTCAGTTAACTATCACCAGAGTCAATGAAAAGCCACATGACCCAGCTTTTCTGGCCCAGAGAGGGGGCAGAGTTAACTGACAGGCTATCAGGTAATGGTAGTGAGACCTCAGCAGGCGGGCGGCAGGCACCCACGTGCTGCATATCTA